GCTTACTGACCTAGGGACAAGAGGTCGAAACTGAGGTCCCTAGGGCAGCAGAGGCCGGCTTATATACATGGGGAGATTAGGGCAGGCTGTGCGCGTTGGTCCGTGCGCAGCTGGTCCGTGCGCAGCATGCTGACGCGGCCCCGGGGGCCGGTGAGTCAGAGAGGCTGTGTCAGCGGGGCCCGAGCTGTGCCGTGCGCTGCCGCCCCATCTAATCTAATCGTACAGTAGATAGTGACGCGTCCATATCGGGCATGTAGTACAGAGGTCGCGGGTTCGAGCCCGCGAAAAGGAAAAAATTAAAAAACGGCTAGGCGCCGTACCAACTCGTGACAGTACCGGAGTGCAGGGCCGCTGGGGTGTTGGACTCGTCGGATTGGTACGAAGTGCCCTTCGTCAACAGTGATGGACCGTGGAGTGCGATTAGGGCACGGTTGCCGATCACAGATGAAGAAAGGAGGTCTGTCTCCGCTGCTCTTTGGGTCGTCACGAGAGACGTCGACCTGATCCTGGGTGTCGAAGGCGTGCTCAAGTCGAGAGCAGTCGAAGAATTCGTCAGCCACGTTGATGGGGGGAGGAAGGGGAGGTGCGCGTGCTACGAAAGGCCGTGCTAGCTAGCTTACACCTACGGCGCCCGAGGTAACACTAGGGTTTGCAGTTCACGTGGGGCCCAGTACTGCTTTTGGCTAGTATGCAGCAGGAACCTAAGCCACGCGTCCGTGAGGACAAGTACCGCCCACTGAAGTGCAGGTACTGAAGAGTTCGTCCCCTAAGTGGTGGCGATGTATAGTACGCTATCTAGGTATCGTAGGGTACAGTAAGGGTGCGCACCACCCAACCTATGGGAAGTGAATGTGAGTAGTGGGAGTCCTGAGGGAACGCCGGCAGCTATGGGAGTTTCGACCTAATGTCGCAACTTGGGGTCGAGCGACAGGAGAAAACCTAAAAGCTGGGGGCGTTCGACTGGTTCTTACCGAAGCGATGGTGAGCTAGGCTCGAACCTAAGGCTAGGGACAAGAAATGTATTAGTTAGTTAAGTAAGAAAGAGAATACATGAGGGGCTTACTGACCTAGGGACAAGAGGTCGAAACTGAGGTCCCTAGGGCAGCAGAGGCCGGCTTATATACATGGGGAGATTAGGGCAGGCTGTGCGCGTTGGTCCGTGCGCAGCTGGTCCGTGCACAGCATGCCGACGCGGCCCCGGGGGCCGGTGAGTCAGAGCGGCTGTGTCAGCGGGGCCCGAGCTGTGCCGTGCACTGCCGTCCTATCTAATCTGATCGTACAGTAGATAGCGACGCGTCCATATCAGGCAAGTAGTACAGAGGTCGCGGGTTCGAGCCCGCAAAAAGGAAAAAATTAAAAAATGGCTAGACGCCGTACCAACTCGTGACAGCTAGCCACCATTAAGACATGATACATCCACAATGGTGGCCACTATCATGGGAAAACAGTCATGTGATTTGCTTTTTCTAAGGTCACATGCCTTGCAATTCTTGTGGTCACATGCTCTAGATACCCTGTCACATGATCAGTGCAAGAAACCCCAATTTGCCTAATTTGACATTTTGGAATTCACCATGTCAAGTTTATGGCCTCAAATCAGAACATGCTAAGGGGGCACCAGTGGCATTATGTTACACAAATACAAACTTCTTTCAAGATATACCACCTAATCCTAACCTAACCTAACCTCAACCTAACCTCAACCTAACCTAACTTAACCGAACCTAAACTAACCTAACCGGACATAACCCTAACTTAATCTAACTTAACCGAACCTAACTCGTGAGGACTCGCGGTCGATGCTCCACATGCATGCACTTATGCCTCTTGAAGTGGGACTACGCAGTTGCAGCGATTCCTGCGACGGCTAGCCTTCCATAACGGAATTCGCCCCTCTTTATCACATATTGCAATACAGTGACGCGAACACTTTACCGTGACTCGTCAGTCCTCTTCGGCTTGACGCAACATTCGTGACGGCGTAACCTCCAAAAGAGGACAGACTTGAGGGCAAGTATGCGTAGTCATGTTCTTGGCTTACTGTAGCGCTCCATACTCGCCTCGCAGGGGTCCCGAGGCTACTCTGTGCTACATCCTCTCCTGACATGTCTCGAGCAGCTAAGCAAAGATCAAAGATGCCTCCGCCATGTGCCACGAGAAGGACGTTGTACGAAGCTGACCTCCTCACTGGAGCTCGATTGATATATGTCTCATCCCCCTCAGGTTCTACAGTAACACGAGCCTTGAAGAGCGTCGGTAACTTCAAGAACTGCTTACAAGTTGTATTCACATATAGGGTGCAACACAAGGCGAGGAACACACTCACCTCCTGAGGTTCTCCTGGCAGCATACAAGTAGGACTCAATCAACAGCCTTCGTTACCTTTTGAATATTGGACCAGCCACACTTTGTAGACGTCAGGCTCAGGAGAGGCAGAGGGCGATTCGACCTGTGGACGCCCATTCGATATCCTCCGGTAAGATCCGATCTGTCCCATGTTCGCGCGCCTTGCACCTGGTTTCTACAGATGTGTGTCAATCCGATCATGTCGCGTTGTGTGCTTGTCAGAAAAACATGTTTATTGTGACATTGGGCTACGCTACTGTACCCCAAATCACCCCTCCCGTCCGCGACCATTACTTCTAATGTATGATAACCCAGTGCGGAAACGGAAGATCCAGCGCGAGGACAAATTAGAAGGAAGTGAAGACTACTCGCACCAAGACTTACTTGCAGCAACACTTGTCCTGGCCACACGAAGGTGGATCCGCAGCACAGACGCTCTAAAACATGCGTGAACGCGCTCTCGCGTTGGCTATGTGGAATAGACAAGAGCTGATAAGAACACAAAGACATACACTTCAGGCGGAAAGGCGCACATACAAGCGACGCTACTCCAGTTGCTGTCCAGTTCTCGATACATCGGGAGAGTCAAAATCAAATTTGAAGATTCGAGATAGACGATCTTAAACGCCATCGCTCTTATCCATTTCAGCGTAGAACACCCAACATCATAGGCAGGACCCAGTTACGGAACACCTTCCAGGACAGCGGAGAGGTGAGACCGTGCGGAGGCCCTCGCTATATGAGAGTCGAAAGAGCATACAAACTACGCTCGATTGTGTCTGCATGATCTACAGCAAACACGCCAGAGCGGGATAGCCTCATACAGCCTGTTAGGGGGTCTGGAAAGTGATCGTCAGCGTGGCCGAGTTCCATGCCAGTCCTTGCGAGGTAGCCATTGGCCACAAAGCAAGTATTGATAGAAACGAGAGGCCGTCGAGCATCATTCGGGATATGCACAGAGGAACGCGGGAGGATCAGAGTGGGATCTTCTGCTGTCAACGCTGAAGAGGCCGATGATTCACAAGAAGGCGTCCACAGCGCGTCCTCAAGGGAGTCTTGGCCGGATGAAGGGCAACAATCCTGAGCCCTACTACATGCGCTGACACACAGCGATCTCATCTGCCTAGAGGTCAATTCTATTGGTTTCGAACCAGGCTGACAGATTACTCACATCACTGTTCAAACCCGGACCAAAAGAGATCTCCGTTCGACAAGCATTGGGCTCACCTTAATGAGGTGCGAGCAAGTGCGAAGGGGTAAGAGAGCACTGGAAGACCGCACAGTCTGAAATTAGGTGACTGCCGCATCGGTAATAGAGGTCACTGCCCCGAAGAATGAGCGCAGGTGGAACATGAAGAGACCTGCAGAACGGTATCGATATTTGAGTGCTGGCCTTGCAAGAGCTAGAGCTTGTGTCGCTCACAGATAGTAATCGTCCAGACTGCGGATTCGATGGGGCGCACATGAGCTCCTCGCGCGGACAAGCTGAAATGGAACGAACGAACCTGGAACCACTTTACTTTTGCAGAACAATGCTACCTTGCCCACGCACAGCGTTCTCTGCCACCCGTACGTGAAGAATCAGGACTCTCATATCGGCGGTTGGCTCTGATATTCGACATGTTTTCTGGGCGGCGGGGATGGGACGCAGTCTTCACCCGTCGGACGTACATACGGACGTGAAGGCTCCATCAAGAGGCCGGCGCTGCAATGATTGGCTGTTCATGCCGTTTCGACGACAGCAGGGCTTTGACCTTTAGAGTGGAGACGTCGCCTGAGCAGGTGAAGGTGGCACAAGATAATGTTGTAGAAACTGAGTGAGACGGAAGTGAGACGGCCAGCGTTGATGCGGCAAGCCCGGGCCGAGATGCCCGATGTGATCGTCAGGTTGAACGTGTAGGTCGGTGAACCCGGGTTCAACCGGAGCTAATCTGCGGCAGTGTAGCTGGTCTCCGACTGGGTTTGCTTTCCGTCATCGCTCCCATGTCTATCGCCCAATTCATGTTTGTTTCGATTGTGCGTGGCACACTGTGCGGGACCCAAGGCGGACACTGTGACCAGCAGCCAGAGAAGACGTACTTGTAAACCCCTTCGATGTTTGCGTCTCAATAGATATCATCCGTTTCTGCGTCTATCTAGCGCCAATATCGAGCCGTTTGTTTCCGTCCGCCGTTTGGCGATCATCCTCACTTACGAATGTTGCTCCTACTCAGAGAAACCCGTTGCACGTCGTGCTTCGTCCCAATTAGTGCGCACCTTCCAAAACACATTGATATTGCTATTTCTGTGCCTGTTGTTACTACCTTGCGAGGCAGAGGTGGTATACATTAAAATTGCAACCGGTAAGCTAATGACATTCGATCGTCATCCATGTGGGACCGGATCTCTCGTTGCGGTGCGTTTATCCTACTCTGTTCGCACTTTTGAGTCACCAGCCGGCCGCGCACCCCTTTCTGTGGAAGATGCTCCCGACTCGAGCCGTCCGCATAACGTGTCAACCGGCTGGACTTCCACAGAAGTGACGCGTCCCATTTCAGTGAATCTTTCTGTTGTCATTTACACTTGCGACGGGAAATCTCTACCGTGCACCACAGATGTGACCCATGCGAGCTCGTAACTATGTCCAAACGTCCGCACCAGCTGTTAAAAATGGAGACAGAAGGCTTCCGAGGTGGAACCATCCGAGGTGGAACCAGGATATCTACCCTGTGCGCGATTGCACTACGCGGGACGCGCGGTCCCTGGCCGTCCTCGTGCAGGTGTTCGTCGTCGGATGCGCTGGGGCCGTAGTCCTGAGTGCAATGCGTGGCACTCCGCGGGATGCTGACCAGAGATTGGCAAGTTGCTACCTGTTTGCATATGAACATCTACTCGGGTCGGCACGTAGCCGACCACTGTTATTTCTTCTGCCACCGTTGATCTTCGGAGACCGCACCTGGGTCTGTCTCCTAAGCCTATAAGACACGCCTGTTGACGCAGCCACGCTGCAGGTACATCGTTATCGCGCTCTCGCAATTTGCAATGAGCACAATTTCCGATCGAATGTCCGCGAAGCGTCTGCAGAAGACCTGATATGGTCCGGCCGGCAACTGCGATGCGCAAAGCATGACCAGTGATCTGTGCAATTACCAGCATCATGTCTTCGAACATGCGTTCATTGATAACACTGCCTTCGTTTTCTTCGTCAAACAAACGTCTGTCATAGGGGTACTCCTTCATCTCTTTGCCCGACCGTCTTTGTGTTGATCTGCAGATGATTTCGCTCGACGCTAAGCTCGTACTTTATCTCCTGCACAGGGTTGGCATGGATTCGGACATCACTTGCGATCGACGTTGGCGCTCCCTCTGACATTCAATGCATATAGATTGCGTGTGAAGTCCGGACCCATTTCGAATAGCGTCTGGCAGGGACAGTGTTTTCGATCAACACCTAGATTACCTTCTCTTCCTCCGGACATTTTATGCTGGCCAATGAGAAGGTACCATTATCCCATGTGCGTGCAATGTCCGGGGTCCGGGCACACCCCCCGAAAACACTATCCTTACCCAGTTGCGCTGGTATGCATGTATATGAATCGTCGAATCTTGACTGTCATCCTCCTCGTAAGAGCTATTGACCTAGTAGTTGCCCTGAACAGGAGGTGATGGCGTGAATAAGCAATGTCCCCCACGTCGCATCCCACGTCACCTTCAGCTGTATACGTCTCGCACGATGGATCATCTTGTGATCGCCTTATTAATAGATGCCACACTCGACACGCATATATATGTGAGCTGCAGATACATCTACTGCATGTCCTAGTTATCATGTCTGTGTCAAGCATGGATGAAGCCCAATTCCTACAATACGCTCAGTATAGGTAAGCTGACTATGAGCGCTCTTCTGCGTGCTGATACACATTTTGTCATGACATCGCAGCTTGATAGACGGCTATATGGATATCATGGCTATGAGTGCGTACATGTCTTTGCTCGTGAATATAACCCTCGCTGATGCGAAACTAGGTCTATTTGTGTACGATTGCATCGTCTCCTTCGATATGGAGTGGCGGGCTGTCTGGTCTCGCAAAATCACGGGAGCGACTGCTTTATATGTAGCTCTCCGCTACGTGACCTTGCTAAACGTCATTATGATTGTCATATACAGTGGTGTGCCATCATGTGAAGTGAGTGTTCATACTGGTCCTGATCATTTAAGCTCATGACATTGCCAGGGGTGACTTATACTTGGACATACTGTGTTTCACGTGCATGCTCAACTATATTGGTTCTAGCGAGCTCATCTCGGACTTACTGGCCATAGCTACTGCCTGCGGCACATATTTCGCCCAAGCGTGTATGTCTACCTTCACTATCGGTTGCAGCAATCTTATCTCATGTGGCTGATAGCATTTGCATCGATCCGAGTCTATGCCCTTGACAGTCGGCGGTGGATGAAAGCCGCCATCGTGATGATGTTGGGGCTTATGCCAGTTGCCATCAACATTGTCAGTATATACCTCACTGTAGACATCATATCACTCATTTATGCATCGTTCACAGTATGGTGCATCCAAAACAGTCATGACTCATACCGCAGAGGGTTGCTTCCTCGGATATTCATACTCCACCTTCAGGAGTCATATGTATGTCACGTCAGTGGCCAATCACACCTGTTAACGTCTGACAGGCTGCGCTAGATGTAAGGCAGCTGATGTGCATGTTCCCTGAACCGGAGCGTTGCGTATTCATTGCTTTCCCAGTGCTTCTCGTCACCCGCATATGTGTTCTCATCTCAAATCTTTTGGTTGTCATCTCGACATGGCAGGCAACACGTACCAGCCGAGCAGTGACTTCAGGGAATAGTAGAGGATCTCTCACAACTATGCTATTCCGCCATGGTATGTGCTCTACCTCAATGCAGAGTGCGATTGTGTTGATCTAACTGTGTATGTAGGTACCGCCCATTTTGCGTGAGTCGGGCTTTCTGCCCACGAGGTTATATTATAAAATGATGTCACAGGCTAGTGGTCGGGCTTAATACAGCTGATCTGCTTGTCACGTTGCTCCTAGGGGTTTGTATCGTCGATACAGCTATGATCAATAACTAAGCAAAGTCTGTATAGGAATTTCTTGACTTTTCCGCACCCGTGGAATTGTAGGCGCATGAACTCTTTCCTTGCGACCACGCTCTCAGGCCATCACCACACAGGATCAGTACCGTGGTGCTATGCCACTTCTTCCTTGATCTCCGCTATTTCTCCAGCCTGGAACTCAATGACAGCACCATATCCTCCCGTGGAAGCCCGTCCCTAAGCTTCGCATCAAGGATCATCGGCAACTTGGGCGAGATGCTCGTGGAAAACTCTCAGGCCTATGACGATGACGTAGACCGTGAGCTAGAGGACCCCACTGATTCTGAAGAAGTCAATGCAGCAGTCGATCTTGACGACAGTGTTGACAAGGCTCAGACTCGGACAGCCACCACGGAAGTCCTCGATCAGACGACTAGCGAGGGAGGCGCTGCTGACTGCGGGTTGCCTGAGTCCCCAGATGAGGATTTCGACCCGCGCGTGATAGAGATTGTCTAGGTCGGTGACACTCAATACTGATCCGCACTCTTACTGAATAATATCGTCAACTAACATGCATCGACTGCTTTAATTGCTGTCATGTTTTTGTATGGCGCAGAGCCCAGTAGCGGATTTCATTCATTTATCCGTATCTTGACCATATTCCCTCTTGGTACCGCACTGATGCTTTAATCCCCGTGCATCGCTATGGATATCTTGTATCGCGACATATTCTCGGAATTTTAACGGTGCTAATTGAGTTCACAGCTGTTCTCATAGCGGGTACTCATCGCAACATCCCCACCCTTACTTCATATCTATGTCATGTAGAATGTTTGAGGGCGGAATCGGTATGCTATCAATCGAGACATTTGACCAGCCTAGCCATACCGGGATGCACCCCGCCTACTAAAGTTTCTTGTACGCATTCCTCGGGCCTCCGGACAGCTTACATTGTAGATAATGAATGAGCGCAGACATGCAGAACTCGCAGAATGCGAAGAAAAGTAAATACCTCAGTAAATGCTGATCGGCGACCACATGAATAACTTCCTTCTGGACGAGTGCCCCGTGGCGGGAGGATCGATCTCCACAAACGGGCCCTCTAACAGTGCAAAGGCTCCCTCAACTTCTCGAATGGCCACTACAGCATCATGCAAGCTGGAGACTCACGAGGAACCCGCTGCCGCTTGCGAGCCACTTGCAGCCCAAGACGAGGGTATCGAACAGCGCACAATACACCTTGTATATGTCGGTTCCGCGCTGCAGGCTCGCTGAAGCACGCCATTAATCAAAAGCACGAGGTATCTTAACTCCTCTCAAATCCTGTCAAGTCTGTGTATGGCATAGTCTGCTGAATGTCTCCTTCTAGTAGTGATATCTATCTATCCTCACGTATCTTGAATTTCATCTCTTCTTGGGTCTGTTCCGCTCCTTCATCACGTCAAATCTTGTCTCCAAGCCTATCGTGTCGCTGCCCATTGAGTTCACAAACCTCATAGTCAGTATTTAATATAACATTTCCATTGTTGCTTTCTGTACCTGTCATGTAGAGTGTCCGAGAAAGATTGACACGCACTCAATATAGACCCGGCGCACCATATCCGCGTTCACGTCCTGTCGCCCTCAGGAGCGGGATACTTATAGCATCCTCGATCGACTTACACTGGCCGCTTCGTCTCTGCGTCCGCACCGCCTTCGCAGGTTCTGGAGTCGGAGGAAATGAAAGAAAGGAACGTACTAAGGTCCCACACTGAAAATCATATAAACAATACAAAGAACGAAAAGAACATGATCGCGGTTCAATCCAGCGTCTGAGGGCTGTACGCGCATCGCGCATATTACTGAACGGCCACCGAGTGTTCTTGTCGTATCCACTTTGACGTCTCTAATTGTCGCGTCTCATCCTGCATCACCGAGTCGTGCTCTTGCGTCGTTGACTGGCCGTCTTGTGTCGCCGACTCCTCTTCCCCCGATATACGCTTTCTGCCACCAGCGTCGGTTCCTCCACCAGTGTTACAACAAAACCGAGCATCTACAACCAGCAGCACATCGACGGAACATATCGTCAGTATGCGACTCCCCAGCAATCAGTCACAGCTTGCCGAAGTACGATCCTCAACAATGACACTATTCGATGGGCTTTCTGGACCGTATATGCACGCGACTGCGGTACTCCAGATGGGATAGTATTATGGAGACATCGTAAGGATACGAAGGGGCACTGTGAAATGGTACCAAGCCGGGGTTCGAGGGTACGAGTGATTCCTTCGTCGCGCGTTTCGAAACGGACAAGTCATGGTATGCTGCGGAGGCATAGGCACTCCATCACATACGCATGAGGACGCTTCAAATTCATGATGCAACGGCTGGCCAGGACATCGTCGGACTGTTCAGGCACGTCTGAAATGCAGAAGAGAACGTGCACTGCAGCATTACTTCGTACTCCGGACTCGTCGATCTGCTGAGAGGGTACTAAACACCGCGTCGTTGACGGTGATCGCATATCTTGATTTGGAGGGGGGGAGTGGGCGCAGAGACACCGATAGCGTCTTCATACGAGACTTGAATATGACTGGCAGGATCCCGAGAGCGAACACTGTCCGCTTAGACATTGCAAATGCCAAGGTCGAGCGGCCGACATAATTCTTGCGAGAGCCGCGTCAGCTGCAGAATGAGGGGATATCCAAGGAGCGAGACAAGTGTAAAGAGACGGCTCGTTTCGTCAGCGAAGAAAGACCATGGTAGTCCCCGGGAATCAGGAAGATGGAAGAAAGCAAGGCCATGCCACGCGTAAGCCACCGCATTCGGGTGTGAAGCATGCCTGTGGTTGGCCAGCATGGCTGGAGAAGACGCCGCGCAGTCCGGTCTATCTGAGTTGAGTGACGCTCCAGATAAATCGAGCGTTGTGAAGGACGAGAGGGAGCGGTAGAGCAGGTGTGGGCTGATGAGCTGCATTTTTGCGTGCGCCGACTAGCGAAAAGGCCATTCCACGACCACGACGAGCCATAGTACATCAACAGCGAAAGGCCGCGGGAAGCGGAAGCGGGCCCACCTGCCGGGAGACATACCCCACGAGAACGGGCCGAGGCGCGCTGACACAATGCGTCCTCAGTTCCCCTTGTAAGTCAGCACGGATAACGTGAGAAGTGCATGGTAGTACTCACTATTGGTATACAATTATGGAAAGCTCTCATAGCTCGTCAGGGATGCGCGCAAAACGTGTTGGACGCGTAACATGAATAGGGTGAATCCGGCGAACGTAGCAGAGGGCTTCGGGGAACGCTGTGCAGCCCTGGGCCTATATGACCACTGCGTCGGTGACGGCATATACCGGGAATACTCACGGTAAAATTGGATTTGCGACGCAGGGTCAATCATTGGATATACAGCGCGTGAAAATGAGACACCGCTCTAGTTTATGGCACTCGTCAGATTACCTCCTCCCGGCCTCCAGGATGGACGATGCGAACGCATCATTCGCACAGGTGAACCGAGATAGCGTCGTCGCAAGGAACGCATCTTTCCTCCGCGAATTCAGCACCCTCTACGTCTCCTCCCTCTCCTAATGACACACTGAGAGCCATCATTGCTATGACCGACTTATACGTAGGAAGGACATTCACTAGTCTCACCTCAATATACGGCGGCTCGTCTTGGAATCGGGGATAGACATCTTGTCAAGGGAAGTCGCCGTGAGAATGTGTCCCCTCGATGACGCGGACGGAACAGAATGACCAGTGCCTATCGGCGGGTAAGCCGTAGTACTCCTGCAATCTGAGCTCGGAGGTGAGATGTCACGTGAGCAGGAGGAGAAGCGAGCCGATGTTGCAGCAAGAGCAAGAGGACATGCGCTGCGTCGACACGTTCTGTAGAGGCGAAGAAGAGGCAAAGATATGCATGATGGCTCAGATCTCAGAGGCGGCGGGACGCCGGCCCGGCCCGAGGCGGTAATGACGCGCGTCTAGCTTTAGTCTAGCTCATGCTCCTCTTCATACGTTGCTAGGACGTCTCGACGCTTCTGCGCTCGGATAGGCACAACGAGGACTCTGGCTGCACACAACCAACCTCCTTCCCATTCCTACCTCCGTCGCTCTGATCCCTCCCGTTGTATTACTGCACGTCGCAATTATGTTCGATGTTGTCAAGCTAGTCTGGCCGCCAGCCTCAACGAACACATTGTTCTGTCCTCCCTTTTTTGTTTCGTGATTCAGGCTCAAGGCATTATAATATTCGCTGAGTCGTTTTGTCACGTATTGTGTTCAAAGCTCGCTTTGGCTAGAATTCATTGTAGTAAATTGTGTACAGAGGAACCCCTCTGACATCAACGTCGCGCTTTGTTTCATTGTGCAGCCTAGTATGCATGATATCGTTTCCTCCGCAGATACAGTCATTCCGATCATTTCCATACTGTCATGCGATGTATGGCATTTTCTGTACGTCCAGTTCTTATCATGGCTACCTCGTAAGACGGATATGACCTACTATCCGAGGAACGAGACAATACATCCGGTGAGCCTTCTCGTATAGTCAAGGCCGTGTCTCATTTATCTCACCTGATACATTGTATGCCGTTTCCTTCCGGCTCCGTTATCGCGGCTATCGCTATGGTGACCGCGGTTTCGACGCAGTGTAGCTTCTACATTTTCATACACTGTATGCCAAGCCTGTCACAAGAGGTTTCGTACCCCATTTAGTGAAGTACGCTCCTCAATCCGAGCCGTCCACATTTCACGTCGGCTCCGCAGACTCTCCCGAAACCGGAAGGTCCCATTTCCACACGTCCTCTGCCTTCCTTTCTTCCTTGCAGCATGTAGCCTTTGCTGCACGTTTTACATGCGAGCCACTAGCCATCGTGCGGGTCAATACAGCAGGCATTTGTCCTGCGTGCGATTCCGGCAGGGCGGCGCCCACTCGCTGTATGTTCTTGCGCAGTCCGAGTCGTGTATCATTGACGCAAAAGGAAGTGCTTAAGGCCGAGCTTCTATTGCACGGTGCGCGGCTTCGTCGCACTAGTTACATATGGTCTAATGCGCGGCCGGTATATGGCCAGCTACGGTGCGGTATAGAGTGCCAATTGACTCCCCACTGAGAGGCGATATGTGTGATCGCTTCTTACATGTTTCTCATATTGAACAAGGGCATCTGCCGCTTCTGTTCAAGTTCACTATTAGCCACACGCTCGGCGCCAAGATTTGCACGAGTTTGAGCGTGCAGACTTCCGGCGTTGTCATGACAATCTCTGCGAAGAAGGCATGTGAAGAGGCTCTATCATGGTCGCGACATGTGGCAGCGTTACCGGTGATAGATGCGATATTCAAGTTTAGGATTACATCCCCCAGGAGACTTCCCATCTGTTCGACTCTGCCGTGCGACGGTGTCTCTTTTGCCCTCATCAACTGAGTGTAGGACGGAGCAGCATTGCCTCACGCCTCACACTGCCCGGTCGTGCTCGTATCAACCTGCGATTGCCTTTCCTACGCTGTGACTTGTACCTTATCGATTCTCCCATGCGCCTGACCGTACGGTTACATCTGCAGGATGTAACGGATTCCTGTATCAGCAGGATCTGTTGCCTGTGATTGATGTTGGCGCTTTTTTGACCGTCCAATGCATGTCAGTTGCGTCGATTTCCCTTCAGACCGAAGTAATGTCCCGTTCGCTCTGCCTTGAGATAAGTCCTCGGACTCTAGTTCAAGTCCATCTGGCTTTAGCGAAACGCGCGAGGCGTGTGAATGTACCACGGCAAATGCTTGTACAGGGTCATTTTGAAGGCTGCATATGATAGGCTGATTCTGACCCATATTGACTTGCCAGATCCTTCCGACAGAATGTACAGCCCACAATGAATCATGTAGCGCCATGATGGCTACGTCTTTCACCGACCACGCGTGAGTTAAATCAGTTGCGGTTGCCTTGAGGTCGCGATTTATGACTTTGGACTTCTTCAGAGACCCCACTCCGGTGATTACCCGAGTCGTATGCTCCCAGCTCTAGTTTCGACTCAGGCAGGACCTCGTAGAAGGCCAGTTCTCTGTATAATCTCACTCCCGGCTGTGTCTCAACTGCTGACGCACATCATTAGTGCTACTGATTGCGGTCGCTAGCCGCGCTGGCGCGGCGCGCATCTACAATTGAATACAATAGTCGGTATGGGTCATTGTCCATCGAGCGGAAAGGTGATGTTATAGAACCCACTGTCATAGTTTACGACAGCATTTACGCTGATATGCGCATGTGGGCATGTGGCAAACCTTCAGCGTCCATAATCTGCCTTGTAGCAGTACCATATTCGTGGTCTACAAGGCCTCGTACAGGTAGGTCGTACTAAATACCCATATTGTTATTCATCCATGTTGATATCAGGAACCTTATCCGAGCCTCTAGATCTGGCATTGCAAGCCAACAGGAAGCACGGCTGAAGATGGATTTCACCTCGACTTGCAGATTTCTTGCATCACTGAGGAGATGTTTATATCTGGCCTTACAAACAGATGCCACATTCAACACGCATATATATGTGAGCTGCGGGAATGCTTACATCCGGTCCTAGTTGTCATGTCCGAATCGAGCATGGACGAAGCCCAAATCCTTCAAATCTTCCGCTATATGCAAGCTGACTTTCTCAATGAGTGCTTTTTTGTGTGCTGATACATACTTTGCCTTGATACTGCAGCTTGATGGACAACTATATTGTCGTCATGGCTATGAGTGTGTACATGACAATGTTCATAAATGCAGCCCTTGCTGATGCAAAGCTAGGTCTTTTTGTTTACGATTCCATCATCTCCTTCAATCGAGAGTGGCAGACTGTCTGGTCTTGCAAGATCACGGGAGCGACTGCTCTATACTTAGCTCTCCGTTATGTGACCTTGGCAAATGTCATAATGGACGTCATTGATTATACTGTGGCATCATGCGAAGTGAGTCTATGTCTTGTTCCTGATCATTCTAGCTGACAACATTCTCAGATGTGATTTATATTTAAACCCATACTGCGCTTGGCACGCATGCTCAACTATGTTGGGCCTAGTGCCTTCATCTCAGGCTTAGTGGACATGGGTACTTTCTGTGGAGCATATCTTGCTCAGGCCGGTATGCCTGCTTCCACTCTCCAGTGCAACAGTCTAATGCCATATGGCTGGCAGCATTTGCGTCGATTCGAATCTATGCAATTGATGGCCGGCGATGGACAAAGGCCGCCATCGTGATGATGTTGGGGATTGTGCCTGTTGCTATAAACATTGTCAGTGAGTAACCCCCTCTGGATATTATGTTTCTCATCTATGCATGGTTCACAGTATGGCGCATCTAACACAAATATGACATATACTGCACAGTATTGTATATTTACATTCTCATACTCTACCTCCAAGAATAATATGTATGTCATGTCGGCGTCAATCACACCTGCCAAGGTCTGACGGGCTGCTCTAGATGTAAGACAGCTGATATGCATCCCCACCCGGAGTGAGGTATGATGCATTCATTGCTTTTCCAGTGGTTCTTGTCACCCGGATATGTGTCCTCATGTCGAATCTCCTGGTTGTCATTTCAACATGACAGGCAACATGTTCCAGCAGAGCGGTGACTGCATTAAATAGCAGAGCATCCTTCGCCACTGTGCTATTCCGGGATGGTGCGTGCAGTACCTCAAAGCAAAGTGTGAATGTGTTGATACAAATATGTATGTAGGTACTGTGCACTTTGCGTAAGTCTATTTCCTCGCCCTTGATGTTGTACTATAGTATACTACCACAGGCTGGCAGTCGGGCTCAATGCAGCCAACATTGTGGTCACATTACTTCTGGGGGTTAGTGAGACTCACACAATCTTATACAATGACTTAGCAGTGTCTGATTAGGATAAATTCGATATGTCCACACCCGTGGAGCTGTAGGTGCACATACACCTTCCTTAACCGCACTCTCAAACATCAACACACAGGATCAGCACTGTGGTGCTATGCCGCTTTTTTCTCAATCTTCGCCAGTTCTCCAGCCCAGACATCATTGACAGCGATACATCCTCCCACGCAAGCTCATTCTCAAGCTTCGCATCAAGGATCATCGGTAACCTGGGTGAGATGCTCGAGGACTACCCTCAGGCTCCTGAGGACGACTTCGAAGGCGAGCTAGACGGGCTCAATGATGTGGAAGATGTCGATGGGGCAGTTGATCTCGATGGCAGTGCAGTACCTTCCTCGTATGCCGACAAAGCTCAGACTCAAATGGCCACTATAGCAGTTCTTGAGCAGGAGACTTACGAGGGAGGTGCTTCCAATCACGAGTTTCCTGAGGCTCCAGACGAGGGGTTCTCCCAGAGCGTGATAGACATTGTCTAGGTTGGTGGCGCTCGATACCGACTTGCAGCCTTACTGAAGAATATCGTCATCCAGAAACAACTCACCTTTCAATCTCTGTCATGTTTGTGTACAACACAATCTGCTGGATATAGCTGCCTCCAGTTGTGGGACTCGTCTATTTATACATATCTTGGACCTCATCTCCTCTTCTCCTCTTGGTAGCGTACACATGCTTTCATTCCCGCCCATCGCTATGGACAAATCTGGTTTCCCGAGGTGTTCTCACCATCTGTTTCCTGCTCATCGCGTTCACGGCTATACTCATAGCTAGTATTTATCGCAACATCTCCTTTCTTACTTCCTGTTATGTAGAATGTCTTACGACGGACAAGTTCCGCCATCAATCGAAACATGCGATCAGCCTTGTCACGTTCGAATGTACATGAGAGCATCTCGAGTGCTACGGTACTCCGCATGCCTTTCTTCTGGCAATTACACGCCATACGTTTTGACCAAGCGCTCAGAAGCGCTCGCAGAACACTCGTCGCTCAGAGTAGAAACGATTGCGGTTGATTCTCACTGGTGAACACGTGAACAACCTCATAAGACTCCCATCCAAAGCAAAAGCAGGTCGCAAATGAAGCAGATGTCGTAGAAATGCAAGAAGGATGGCGGGGGCCACCTGGGCGAGTGGCAGCTCCAACGCTGGAGTCCGCCAGGCTCTCAATCCGTGATCCAACTCACGCCTCGCACTACAGCCCTGTGATCAGCAGAGGACAACTACACGCTGCTCCCGCGATTTCCCTCGGCGCAAGCCACCATTTCTTCCGGTGGGACGCTATATCCCGCGTAAGCTATGCTTGCATCATCAGGACGCTGTCTTCAGCCAGCTTATCTAACTATAGAGCGATCGATTCTCCACATGCACGCGTCTGCTCTTCTTCACAGACTGGCCTTGTGCAGCCGCCGCTCTTGCGTGCTATTCAGATGCCTGTTACGGCGGCGACATTCCAGTGCGTGCTCGTGGTTGCATAGTGGGACTTATTTCCCTCGTATACAGTAAACTGAGAGGCATGAGCTTAAACGCGGTTTGTCAGTTCTTCCGTGTTTGACGTAACTGACATGTCCATGAGGGCGTTGCCTCCGACTTGGAGGGCAGACAGGGCTGATGGTGTAGAGTATATGTACATACTGATACCCTCGCCTTATTGTAGGACTTCAGACTCACGTTGCGGACGTCCTGTTCTTTCATCCTCTGTCGAGTGGCGGAGCAGAGACCGACGCATTGCCGTCACATTCCCTGAGAAACATTCTGACATGGCTCGGAATAGACGCCCGCGCGATGCGATCCCTGGTCACATCTGATCTGTCATATGTTCGATCGCGCTCAATGGGCCTTTTAAAGGTTGGCTTGCGCACTTCGCCTGTCTTCCTCTAGCAGGCTCGCGCCTGGATTCACCGCTTGTTATGTTAGAGCATTGCCCGCTTGTTATGTTAGAGCATTGCTGATCACCGCACAGACATGTCTCGGCTTGGTTTGTCTCTTCGTGCCTATCTCGCGCCCCATACTCGCTCTACGACGCTGTATTGTTTGGGAAAAGAGAAGCTCGAGACTGCGTGGAGCTTGGCATAGACCACATCGCGACGCACGTCATCGGGCGACCCTGGTACCGGTGGATCTATATGCTATTACAGAGTTATACCGTCTGGCGATTGTTCGGCTGGAAACAGTCCACGTAGTCGTCCCCGCACCACTAGCAATCTGGAGGGTGTCGCGATGATCGAGGGCAGGCGTCCTTCGAGGCATGAGCGTCACAAGCCGAGGAATCCTCCGTGGTTACCTTTCCCGCTTCCAGAGCACCGATCAACTTACATCTCAAGGTGAGAAGCTTGTATGTTCGTCGCATACTTCATGGCACTGGGTCGCGCAGTTTAGCAGTGAGCATCTTGGCCATGGTTTTGTAGTTGTCTCAGTGCAGCGGCTGACACACTTGGCGACAGCCCAGGTTGTCGGAAGCTTCTGGATAGACTACAAAATTGCCACCGTGGAGACGTTCCGGGAGCCGTACCTCGTGCCACCAAGTGGTGAGCACGTAGTGAGGTTGACATCGTTATTGTTGCTGACCATGACTTCGGTGCAGTCTTCGACATGGTTTTGCCTGAGCAATGTCTTTTCATTTGCTATGAGAGAAATCATGGCGACTGTCGTTTGGGGAGGCAATGGTGAGTGGCTGATATTGGAATGTATCTTCGTTCTTCTACATTTCCTATAATACTCAGAGGGGGCGAGCATCATTCAACTATCAAGCATTCTCGCCATTTGGTACATGCTTTGCCATATATTCGCGCTATTGCTTAGGCTAGACAAGTATTTCAACGGCACCCCCACGCCAGTCTCGAACGATATTCGTAATGCACCAGTTGTGATCTTGACTGCGTTGTCGGATCTACTTCGCGGCATTATGCGTCAAATCGGCGACCTGGCATTGAACACTGTCTTCGCAGAGTGCCAGGAGCAATTATATACTACTGTTGCTTGCGGTAATTGCTTGCGATTGACAACAGACGGTAAGGCAATGACGGCATCAGTAGCCATCCACGTCAAGCTGGTCTTTTGCCGCGGTCGAACGTTAGCGCTACGGGGACGAGAAGAATAGCCTGAGCCCTGGTCCCGAACTGTAAGCGCAATCCTCTTCATGATAAATCGCTGTGTTTCATGCTTCACGCATAGTTCGTTTCTAGTTGGCTAATATATGTCCATCGCAGGTACCAAACTTGGTCAGTCTGTCGCGGTCTCAGCTCTGCCTCCAGCGGCATCGGCATCGAGCTCTCTACGGACTCGGTGAAGGACGCTCGGAGAAGGAGATCATGCAATAGACTAGTGCCATCTGGCTGACGGCGTACGTACCATGTCTTTGGAAGACCTTATGCCGCTTCTTCCTCGAGCTTCACAACTCCCTTGTCCTCTTCGAAGCAAAGTATAGCATTATACCCTCCCAGCGAAGCTCCTTCTTGAGCGTCGCGGCGAGTACAATCAACACCCTGGGTTATATGCTTGAGAGAAGCCTCAAGCCCTTGATAATCGCCTCGACGGTAGACGACCTCCATGATGTAGGAGAACTCGAGCCGGCAGATGGGCTTCAAAGCCGACGAGGATCAGGCTACAACAATCCATCTGACGGAAGCAGGAGCCTCGTGAGGGAAGCGCGAGGCCTCAGGTAACGCTTTAAATCATTGCACGATGAATATCGTCTAGTCGGTGGCACTCTAAGGTATGACACAGTGGGCGCAATACTGCGGCTTTCGGTAGTGACTTTCGTTTAGCTTATCGAAGGCAATTGCATCCCCTCGCTAGGCGCATATTCCTCCTCCTGTGCTATAGCGATAATTCCTCTCCCGAAATCATATTTGCTAAGGTAGACATCTTTGTACTTCCAATGACATTCGTAATTCGCAGTCAATATTCATCGTATTGCTCCATCTATTCTTCCTAGTATTGGCAATGTCCAGTGGTAATGATATCTGCGTCAATCCTACCACGTCGCGTTGCATGCGTGTCAGAAAACACATTCATGATAACGTTGGTCGACGCTATTGTACTCCAGATACCCCCCACTCCCTGGGAGTTACCTGCAGTGCATTGTAGGCAGGTGCCGAGACCGATAGTGCAGGGAAAGGACAGATAAAAAGGAGCGAAGATCATTCGTACTTGCGGCAGCGCGGGGCGTTGTCCCGATCACGCGAGTATAAAGGTGGAGCTGCGGCGCAGACCTCCTATAACATGTGCGAACGCGCTGTGAGGCTGGCGGTGTGGAATATTGGACGGCTTGTAAGAGTACATACTCGAGGTGGAAAGGCGTGCGTACAGATTACACTGTTCCAGTTGTTGTTTAAGTTCTCGATCCATCGGGAGGGCGAAATCGTACTGGAGAATTTGAGAGCGATAATCGCAAACACGTTGCTCTGATTAATTGAGGCCTTGGAAGTACTGTCTCCGTGTAGTAAAATTCAAAATCAGCATCGTTGGCAGGACCCAGCGATCGAACACCTTCCACGACATCAGAGAGGTAAGCGGGGCCCTTGCCAGCCTAGGGAGTCGATTGATTGAGCATACAAGCTACACTTGAATGAGTTTGCGCAATTCCGTATGAACACTTTATAGGCGAGTAGCCTCATACATGCTGTGCGGGGGTCGAGAAAGCAATTATCAGCCCGAACGAGTTCCGCGCCAGAGAATCTTCGCAAGGCAGCCATCGAGCGTGGAGCAAAAAGTGATAGGAATAACGGGCCGTCGAGCATTAGTAGAGGTACCGCGGAGGGCAACGCGGGAGGAATAGGGTGCGATCTTCTGCTGCCGCCAGTGAGAAGGCCAACGAGTAGTCACAAGGCGTCGACAGCGGGCTGCCACGGGACTCTGGACCGGATGAGGGGTAACGACTCTCAATGCTGCCAGATGCGCTGACAAACACTGTTCTCATTGGCCTAATTGACATCTTATGAAGTTCAAACCAGGCTATCACATTACTTCACCATCGCCGTTCAAATCCGGAACAAAAGACGACTCTTTTCTTCGAGCATGAGGCGCAGTGGAATGAGATGCGAGCGAGCGCGAGGGGATGAGGGAGTACTGGAAGACCGCACACTTTAGGATTTGGTGATTGCCGCATCGGTAACAGAGGACTGTACTGTCCCTGTGGAACGGTATCGATATTCAAGTGTTCACGTGGCGGAGAATAAAGGCTGTGTTGCTCACAGACAGTAGTCGCTCAGACTGCAGACTCGATGGGGCGCAAATGAGCTCCTCCCGCGGACAAGCTGAAATGGTGCCGAACGAACCTGCGACCGCCTTGCCTACGCCCAACGTTCTCTATCACACATCAGGTCTTGCTGGAATGAAGTATACGTGAGGAGTGAAGATTTTCATCTCGACGATTGATTCTGATAATCGACATATCTTCCGAGCGGCGGGGATGGGACGCGGTCTTCATCCATCGAACGATACGGACGAGAAGACTCCAGCCAGAGGTCGGCGCAGTAATGGTTGTTGCTGCGATATCGACGGCAGCAGAGCACAGACATTTACAGTGAGAGTAGAGACGTTGCCTGAGGGAGGCACAATATAGTGTTGTAGAAACAGAGTGAGACGGAAGTGACAGACTGACAGACTGAGAGCGTTGGTGCAGGTGGAACGGAGGCGGGACGCCGGCCCGGGCCGAGGCGATAATGATGCGCGTCTTCAAGCTCAAGTTCAGCTAGTCTCATGAGGACCCCGGCGAATCCCCCAAGAGCTCTGATCCCGAAAACCCCGAAAAGGGGGCCTCTGGAGCCAACATCTTACATCTCAAACCCCCGAAACGGGGCCCGGACGGCGGTCAGGTTATGTGCCAGGTGCCCCGAAACCAGGCGTCCGGGGCGAGGTATGATCCTCGACCCCCGAACATAAGGTCCATCCGGCCTCGGAACGGGTGCCGAAATGTGCCGGAAAGGTAAGGTGATACCGGTGACGTCTCACTCGATTGCTTCTTGATACCAATTCGTCGCTATGTTACTTTACTTATCGGTTCTCGATACCAAACTTCATGTAAGTAGGAATTTATAGGTCTAATGATCTTGTGCGAATACAAAGATCCGAAGTAGAGAGATTAGTACCACATCAATCAGTGGCCTCAGTGTAGTAGTCGGTACTTCTAAATCTATGTACGGCCTTGTGACAATGGTACAATCGCGCGCGCGATTTTTTGCAATTTCTCGCCTTTTTTTGCAATGTTTAGACGTTAGATCCCATTTACCCCCAAAAGTGACCGGAATCAGGCGAGGTTATGTGAAGTTCCCCCGAAAGGTCCGCGCGGGATCAGAGCTCTTGGGGGATTCGCCGGGGTCCTGTCTCATGCTCCTCTTTGTGCCTCTGTACGTTACTACGACTTTCTATGGTTCTGCTCTCGGATACACCCAAGGATGATTTTGACTACAACCCAATGGCATCCTCGTTACTTCTGTCTCCGTCGCCCTGAAGCCTCCCCTTGTATTGCTGCCTGCCGCAATTCAATGTGGTTCAGCAAGTCTGGTCGTCCGCCTCAATATGTCCTCCCCGCGTTGTATGGTGGATTCGAGGCCATGCGTAGCAGTACTCGCTGACCCCTTCTGTAAACTATCCTGCTCCAAGCTCGCTTTGACCCAGAAGCTGTGCAGTCATTTTGATACTGAAGAATACCTCTGACGTCCCATTCTGCAGCTCAGTGCGCATAGTATCTCTTCCTCTCACAACCACAGTGATTCAGAAAGGTTTTATATTTCCACGCCACTGCCTGTACGTTTATAGTTCATCATCAATGCGCGAATGACCCGCCATCTGAGGAACAGACAATACATCTGATAAGTTCGCTATTATGCGGTCGATACCTTATCTCAGCTACGCACATTGTGTTTCGTCAGTTTCTAGCTCTAATGTTGTGGTTACCGCCATGGTTCTCGCATTTTCGACGCGGTGTGGCTCTTCGTTGTGTTCAACTCTTTTCTACTCTCATGTGCACACTGTACGAGTCTCAAGAAGTCACCCACCACGTCCAGTGGTGTACGCTCCTCCTCAAACAGAGACCCATTTCTGTGCGTCCTATGTCTTTCATTCCTTCCTGCAGCAGGTGGCCTGCAGGTGTGATACGCTAGCCATTTTTCAGTCTCACAAACTCCGGCGAGGTACTCAAGATCTCGTGCGATTGCGACAGTCTCAAGAGCAGACATTCGTTCCTCGTGCGATGATCTGCGGACGCAGCCCACTCTCTAGTTGTCCTCGCAGATATGTGACGAACGAGGTCATGCTGGAGGTCGAGCTCTCAAGGATGCGATGCGTGGCCTCGCCGCATATTGGTCTATACGGGCCGGTATATAGCCAGAAAGAGTGCGGCGTGGAACACTGTTTGATTCTGGACTTAGTAACGACTTGTGTGCTCGTCTATGACATTTGCCACTCATTCTGCCACCCCTATTCTGGAAACTATCTTGTTGATACCGGAAAAGTGCGCCTGGCTCGACCTCCGGCATAGTGTAGAGGATGCCTTATGCAATTCGCGGGTGCAGAGCCTCATCGTTCGGACATCAACGTCAGCTGCGACGCACACAGCTTCATCGGTGACAGATGTAACACTCAAATTCATATCTGTACAACGTTGCTGTGCGATGTCATTTACTTTATGCTTGTTATTATCAACTGAGCACTGACCGAAGCAGCATTGCGTTTTGTGTTCCACTGCCCAGTCGTGTATGGACCTTTAATTGCCTTTTCTATATTGTGACTCGTAATCTTTTCTCGTGTGCCCATCCGAAACCGTTATATCCGCGGTGTTCGTGTATCAGCAGGATCTGCTGCTTGCGATTGATGTCTCTGATCTCTGTCTGTTCGATGTGTGTAGATTGCGTCAATTCTTCTCAGATTGGTACGTCTTATTGATCCTGTCTTGAAATATGACCTCGCCCTCTAGTCGGAGGCCATGTAGCTTGAGCTAGGTGTACGAAGGTACCACGGTAGGTGATTATGCTGGGTTTATTTGAAGGCTGCGTCCGATAGGCTCATTCTGACCCAGCGCACAGCCTGTGATGCGTTGGGCAGCTACTTCTTCTGCCGACAATGCATCGGTTAATCAGTTGAGGTTGTGTTGAGGTCGTGATTGGTGACAATATACTTTTCCGAAGACCCCCTTCTCCAGTAATTGCTCGATCCGTATGGTCTTAGTTCTAGCTTTGACTCAGGACCTTGTCATATGCCCGTTCTCCATGTCATCTCACTACCGACTGCATCTTAACTGCTGATGCACACTGTTGATGCTACTATTGCAGCTGCTGTCCAGGCCGGCGCGACCCGCATCAACGATTGAATGCCATATTTCGTGCGGGATATTGCACCTAGAGTGGGAGGAGTGATATAACGTTCGCTATCATACTGTACGACAGCATCTGCGTAACGCATATATGAACTGTCGGATAGCGGCGACCATCTTCGTAAGCCTGCTACCTTCGTGGCCTGCAAGCTGTGTTCAGGTTAGTTGTCCTAGATGCCGGGGCCTCCATCTGTCCATGGTTACATCTGCATCTGTATCTGAGCTCATTAATCAGTAGTTAACATCAATAGGAGGAAGTTGCATGACTAGGCGATGCCTTTCAAGTTGAATCTCACCTCGCATCGCCTTGTATCTGCCCGCAAAAGTGACAATCCTATACCCACCTGACGAACAGATGCCACACTCGACACGCATATATATATGAGCTGAAGGCACGTTCATTTTACATTCTAGTGATCATGTCCGAATCATGCAGAGAAGAAGCGCGATTCCTTCGAATTTACCAGAATGGGTAAGCTGCCTTTCTCAAAGAGCGCTCTTTCATACCTTGATACATATTGCTCCCTGATATCGCAGCATAATAGAAGAATATATTACAACCATGGCTATGAGTGCGTACATGAAAATGCTCGTCAATGCAGCCCTCATTGATGCACGGACCAGGCCTGTTTGTGTACGATTCTATCATATCATTCAATCTGGAGTGGCGGGCTGTCTGGTCCCGCAAGATCTCGGGAGCGACTGCTCTATACTTAGCTCTACGCCATGTGACCTTGCTAAATCTCATTGCGGACATCATTGCCTTGACCGTGACATCGTGTCAAGTGAGTCTTCATCCTGTTCCTAATCATGCTAGCTCACGTGGTTTTCAGGGGTAACTTATATTTAGACTTATACTATGCTTGACGGGAATGCTCAACTCTGTTGGTCCTAGCTACCTCATCTCAGAGTTAGCAGCGGTAGGCTCTACGTGTGGGATATATCTTGCTCAGGCAGGTATGTCTTCCATCGTTCTCCAGTGCAACGATCCCATGCCACAAGGTTGACAGCATTTGCGTCGATCCGAGTCTATGCCATTGATGGCCGGCGGTGGACAAAGGCAGCTATCGTGATGATGTTGGGCCTTGTGCCAGTTGCTATCAACATTGTGAGTAGGCTACTCCCTGCAGATATTCTATTCCTCACTTATGGATCATTCATAGTATGGCGCATCCAAAACCATTATGTACTGTGCAGCAGAGGTTTCGGGTGATGAATTCTCAGTCTCTATCTCAAAGGCTAACATGTATGTTGTGTCAGTATCCAAACACACCTGTTGATGGCTGACGAGCTGCTATAGATGTAAGGCAGTCAATGCGCATGGAGTCCCCCAGAGCCAGAATGTTGCGTATTCATTGCTCTCCTAGTGCTCCTTGTTAGCAGATCATGTGTCCTCGTCTCAAACCTTCTGGTTGTTGTCGCAACATGGCAGGCAACACGGGCCGGCCGAGGTGTAACTGCATGGAGTAGCAGAGGATCTCTCACAGCTGTGCTATTCCGGGATGGTGTGTGCTATACCTCATGCACAGTGTGAATGTGTTGATACAGATATGTATGTAGGTACTGTCCACTTTGCGTGAGTCTATTTTCTCTCCCATGAGAATATACTACAGTATGCTATTACAGGCTGGTAGTCGGGCTCAACGCAGCCAACATCGTGGTTGCATTACTGCTAGAGGTTGGTATAATCCACACGACCACATATAATGGCTCAACAGTATCTCTTTAGGAATCAATCGACCTGTCTATACCTGTGGAACTGTACGTGCACATACACCCTTTTTTAACCACGCTCTCAGAACTTCAACATACAGGATCAGTACCGTGGTGCTATGTCGCTTTTTTCTCAACCTCCGCCAGTTCTCCAACCCGAACACTAACAACAGCTCTGAGTCCTCCCACGCAAGCTCGTTCGCAAGCTTTGCATCGAGGATCATCGGCAATTTGGGCGAGATGCTCGAGGACGAGCCTCAGGCTCCTGATGACGACTTCGAAGGAGAGCTCGACGGGATGAATGATGCGGGAGAAGCCAATGAGGCAATTGATTTCGACGACAGAGCAAAGGCCCCTTCAAATGCGGATAAGGCTCAAACTCGAATGGTCACCACGGCAGTTTTCGAGCAGAAGACAGATGAGAGAGGCGCTGCTGACCATCAGTTTTCCGAAGTCCCAGATGACTGTTTGGAACAGCGCGTGATGGATATTGTCTAGGTTAGTGACATTCGTACCGATCTGCAGTCGTACTCAAGGATATCGTCACCCAGAGGCAATTGTTCCTTCATTCCTCTCATGTTTGTGTGTGACGCGGTACAGCCGCCTCCAGTTGTGTGATTTATCTATTGATACGTATTCTGGACACCCCTCCTCGCCTCTTGGTAGAGCGCACATGCTCTCATCCTCGTCCTTCGCTATGGACAAACTTGGTACTCAAAGATATTCTTGCCATAGGGTCGTCGCTCATCGTGTTTACAACTATCGTCATGGCTAGTATTTATTGAAACACCTCCATCCGCACCTCCTGTCCCTATCATGTAGAATGTCTGACGGCGGACGGGTTCTGCCATCAATCGAGACATGCGCTCCGGACTCGTCGACTTACTGAGAGGGTATGAAACACCGCGGCATTGATGGCGCACGCGCCACATGATTTATATTGGGCTCAAGGATATCGAAAACGTCTTTATGAGACTCGAACGTGGCTGGCAGGATCTCGAGAGCGAATGTTATCCCCTGAGACGTCGCAGATGCCAAGGTCGAGCGGTCGACATCATGCTTGCGGGGGTCACGTCAGCTGCAGAGTGAGAGGAAATCCAAGTAGCGAAACGAGTACAAAGAGGCGGTTCGTATCGTCAGCTAAAGCAATACACAAAGTCCTCAAGGAACAGGAAGATGGAAGAACTTGAGGCCATGTCACGCGTAAGCCACCGCATTCGGCTGTGAGGCACGCCTGTGATTAGCCAGCACGGCTGGAGAAGACGCCGCGCGGTCCAGCCTATCTGAGTTGAGTGACGTTCCAGGTATGTCGAGCGTTGTAGAGGACGAAAGGGAGCGGTGGGGCAGGTGTGGGCAAGTAAGCTGCATGAATGCGTGCGCTGACTGGCGAGAATGCCACTCCACAACGAGCAATCGCGCATCAACAGCGAAAGGCCGCGAGAAGCAGGCCCATCTGCCGGGAGACAACCCTCACAAGAACGGGCCGAGGCGCGCTGACACAATGTTTCCCGCCTGTAATTCAGCACGAGCAACGTGAAACCGGCATGGTAGTACTCACCATTAGCATATAATTCTGAAACGCGCTCATAGCTCTTCAGGAGCTGCGCGCACAGCGCGTTGGACGCGGAACATGGAAATGTAGAAGGAGAGTGGATCTGGAGAACGTAGCAAAGGGCTTCGGAGAACGGCAGCTGTGTATAACCACTGCGTCTGTGACGGCATATACCGGGCGCGCTCGAGGCAAAATGGGATTCGCGACGCAGGATCAATACTTGGATATACGGCTCGTGAAACGGATACATCGCTCAAGTGTATGGCACTCACCAGATTGCCTCCTCCCAGGCTGCAGACGCCAGAGTGAACGATGCGAACGCATCATCCGCACAGGCGTCGTCGCAAGGAACACATATCTCCTCCACAAATTCAGCTCTCTTCACGTCTCTTCACTCTCTTCATGATAGGCTGAGACCCATGAACATACTCCAGTCTCACCTCGATATTCGGCGGCTCCTCTTGGAATCGGGGATAGACATTTTGTCAAGGGAAGTCGCCGTGAGAATATGTTCCAGCGATGACGCGGACGGAATAGAATGACCAGTGCCTATCGGTGGGTAAGCTGTAATACTCCTGCAGTCTGAGCCTCGGCGGTGAGATGCCGCGTGTGTAGGAGACGCGAGCCGATGTTGCAGCAACAGCAAGAGGACGTGCGCTGCGTCAAGACGTTCAGAGTGGGCGGGACGCCGGGCCGCGCCGAGGCGGTAATGCTCAAGCTCAAGTTCGGCTAGTCTCTTGTGAACACTCGTGCTCCTTTTTGCGCCTCCATACGTTGCTAGGATTCTCTACGGCTCCACCCTCGGATAAGCGCGACGAGAATTCTGACTATGTCCGACTGACCTCCTCCAGGTTCCTACCTCGATCCCTCGGGCCGTTTTGCCGCCGCCCTCGCAATATGTTCGATATTGTCAAGCTAGTCTGGCCGTCTGCCTCAATGGACACATTGTTTTTTCCTCCCCTTGTTGTGTCGTGATCCTGAGTGCAGGAATAACAGTATTTGCTGAGTCTTTCTGTCACGTATTGTGTTTCAAAAGCTCACTTTGACCAACAACCATTGCAGTAGCTTGTGTACAGAGGAACCCCTCTGACATCAACGTCGTGCTTAGTCTCATTGCGCAGCCGAGTATGCATGGTATCGCTTCCTCCGCAACTACAGTGCTGCCAACCGTTTTCGTACTCCCTTGCGATGTATGCCATTTTCTGTATGTTCAGCTACTATCATGTCTACTTCGTAAGACGGAGATTATCTACGATCTGAGGAACGAGACAATACGCCCGGTAAACCTTCTCTAATTATCGACACCGTGTCCGAGTTGTCTCACCTGGCACATGGCACGCCGCTCTCTTCCGGCTCTATTTTCGCGGTTAATGCTACGGTGCCCGCAGCTTCGACGCGGTGCAGCTGTATTCTGAATTATAAAGTTTGCTACACTGTACGTACCATGCGTATCTCAAAGCAGTCGTATTCCCCATTCAGTGGAATACGCTCCTCAGCCCGAGCCGTCTGCAGTTCATGCCGGCTCCTCAGACGCTCCCGAAACTGGAACGTCCCGTTTCTGTGCATCCCCTGTCTTTCATTCTTCCTCGCAGCAGGTGGCCTCTACTGTACTACCAACATGTCAGCCACTCGCCATCATGTGGTCCAATATGTTCTGGCGGGCTCCTAAAGCGTCTGGGCGTTTACGAGAATCTAAACAGCAGCCATTTGTCTTGCATACGATGCTGGCCAAGCATGGTCCACTCCCTAGCTATTCTGGCTTCGTCGCACTAGTTTCATATGGTTTATGCGGGTTGGTATATGTCCAGTTGCAGTGCGGTACAGAATGTCGTTTGACTGTCGACTTAGCGGCGATAAGTGTGATCGTCTTTCACATTTTCTACTCATTCTCCGCCACTCCTATGCTTTTCATCTCGAATTAGGGCGCTTGCTTCTTCTTTCAAGTTCACTATTTTTAGCCTCACGCTCGGCGCCAAGCTTTGCTCAAGCCTGAACGTGCCTCGTTATTGTCGCGACATGTCGCAGCGCCACCAGTGATAGATGCAACATTCAGGTCAGTGATCACATCTTAGAGGAGGTTTTCCAATACGTTTGACGCTGCTGCACAACAACGTCTCCTTCGCTCTCATCACCTGAGTGCTGGCCGGAGCAGCATTGCCCTGTGTCTTTTACCACCCTGCAGTGTTTATATCGACCTTCAGTTGCCTTTCCCATGCTGTGTCTGGTACCTCATCTCATGTGCACATTGATCTGCGAGATGTAATGGGATCAAGTATCAGCAGGATCTGTTTCTTGCGGATGATGTCGTTGCTTTTGGTCGTTCAATGCGCGTAGGTTGCGCCGAATTCTCGCAGGCTGATGTAGTGTCCCGTTGACTTTGTCTTGAAATAGATCTTCGCGCTCTATCCCGAGCTCATCTGATTTGAGCCAAATAAGCGAGGGGTGCGAAGGTACTGCGGCAAATAATTGTATGGGTTACTTCAAAGGCTGCGTATCGTAGGCGTCCTGTGCCCAATCTTTACTCATCCGATTTTTCTGACCGAATGCACAGCCCACCATGAATCGTGCAGCATCATAGTAGCTACATCATCCGCTGACTATGCACCGGTAATCAGCTGAGTTTCCCTTGATCGTGAATGATGACCTTGTACTTCTCCAGAAACCTCTTCCCCGGTATGTGCTTGAGTCATAAGTCCTCACTAAGAGCTGCGATTCAGGCACGACCACACCATGGGCAAGTTCTCCATGACATCTCACTACGAGCTGCATCTAGATCGCTGATGCACCTTTCTGATGCTATTGATTGCAGTTGCTGTTCAGGCCGGCGCGACCTGCATTGAACATCAACTGCCATATTTCGTACGGAATATTGCACATTGAGTGAGAGGATATAATGGTGACTACTTCCGTATTTGAAGGCAACATTTTGGCTGATATGCGCATATATGAACTGTCGATGCCCGCCATCTCCTCGTAATGATACTGCCTTCGTGGCTTGCAAGCTGTGTTCAGGTAGGTCGTACCTGGTTCTGGTGTTCCCATCTATCTGTGTGTTGCATCGGCATCCTTACCAGAGCGCATCAACATAATGGTCGATCTGAACAGGAGGCGGTGGCGTGAATAAGCGATACCTTTCAAATTGCATCTCACCTCACCTTGTATCTGCATCGCGCAAATGATCATATTATTTCTTGCCTGACGAAATATGCTACACTCGACATGCATATATACGTGAACTGCGGATATGATTCTCATTCTAGTTATCATGTCCCAATCAATGGATGAAGCGCAATTCATCAAAAATTACCAGTATAGGTAAGCCGACTTTCTCAACGAGTGCTCCTCAGTGTGTTGATACATACTTTGCCCTGATATTTTAGTGTAATAGAAAACTACATTGGGTTAATGGCTACGAGTGTGTACATGATGGTGTTTGTATATGCAGCTCTCACTGATGCACAAACTAGCCCTATTTGTGTATGATTCTATCATCTCCTTCAATCTGGAGTGGCGGGCTGTCTGGTCTCGCAAAATCACCGGAGCGACGTCTATATACCTAGCTCTCCGCTACGCGACCTTGCTAAATGTTATCATGGACGTCATTGTCTATAGCATACCATCATGTAAAGTGAGTCTTCATACTACTTCTTATCATTCTAACTCATGACATTTACAGGGGTGACTTCTAAACTTCAACTGTGCTTGATTGGAATGCTCAACCATGTTGGTTGTAGTGGCTTCATCTCATACTTTGTCTGTATAGGTACTGCCTGCGGGACATATCTTGCCCAGGCAGGTATGTTTGCATTCACTCTCTGGTGCAACAGTCTAATGGCATGCTACTGACAGCATTTGCATCTATCCGAGTTTATGCTATTGATGGCCGGCGATGGACGAAGGCCACCATCGTAATGATGTTGGGGCTTGTGCCCGTTGCTATCAACATTGTTAGCATGTAACCCCCTCTATATATTCTGTTTCTCATTTATGCATCATTCACAGTATGTCGGCTCTCAAGCAGATATGACCTATACTACACAATTTTGCACCCTCGGATTCTCTATCTCCACCTCCAAGTATAATATGTATGTGACGTCAGTGGCTAATCACTTTTGTTGAGGTCTGATCCCGATGTCCAAGATGTAAGATAGCTTATATGTATGCCCCACGGAGTGACATATGACGCATTCATTGCTCTTCCAGTGCTTCTTGTCACCCGAATATGTGTCCTCATGTCGAATCTTCTGGTCGTCATCTCAACATGGCAGGCAACACGTGCCAGCAGAGCAGTGACTAGATTGAATAGCAGAGGATCCCTCACCGCTGTGCTATTCCGCGATGGTGCGTGCTCTACCTCAATGCAGAGTGTGAATGTGTTAATATAAACATGTATACAGGTACTGTGCACTTTGCGTAAGTCGGCGTATCCACCCACGAGCCTGTTAAAAAAGACAATGTCACAGGCTAGTAGTTGGGCTCAATGCAGCCAACATTGTGGTCACATTACTTCTGGGGGTCAGTGGGATTCACGCGACCATGTACAGTGACTCAGCAGTGCCTGTTTAGTATGCAATCAACTTCTCCGAACCCGTGGAATTGTAAGTGCACAAATACTTCATCTGACCACACTCCGAAACCGTCAACACACAGGATCAGTACTGTGGTGCTATGCCGCTTCTTCCTCAATCTCCGCCATTTCTCCAGCCCAGACATCATTGACAGCAACATGTCCTCCCACGCAAGCTCATTCTCAAGCTTCGCATCGAGGATCATTGGCAACTTGGGCGAGATGCTCGAGGACGACCCTCAGGCTCCTGATGAGGACGACTTCGAAGGCGAGCTGGATGGACTCAATCATGCGGGAGGAGTCGATGGGGTAGTTGATCCCAATGACAGCGCGCAGGCCCCTTCAGATGCAGACAAGGCTCAGACTCTAACGGCCACTACGGCGATGTTGGAGCCGGAGACTGATGAGAGACACGCCGCAAACCGCGGCTTGCCTGAGGCCCCAAATGAGCGGTTCAATCAGCGTGCAATAGACATTGTCTAGGTCGGTGACGCTCGATACTAATTTGTGGTGTTGCTGAAGGATATTGTCGCCTAGAGGCAAACCATCCTCCAATCCCTCTCATGTTTGTGTATAACGCAGTCTGCCGGATACAGCTGCCTTCAGCTGTGGGATTCATCTATTTATACATATCCTGGTCCTCTCCTTCTCTCGTTTTGGTAGTGCGCACATCTTTGCACCCCTCCTCTTTTGCTATGGACAAATTCGGTCTCCCGGGATATGCTCTCTATCATGCCGCTGCTAGTGGAGTTCGCAACTGTTCTCATAGCTAGTACGTATCGTAACATCTCCATCCTTACTTCCTGCCATGTAGAATGTTCTACGGCGATCAGGTTCTGCCATCAATCGAGACATGCGATCACCCTTGCCATACCTGGACGTCCAACAGAGCATTTTGGTTTTTACAGTCTTCCGCATGCCTTTCTTCTGGCGACTATACACCATACATAATGACCAGCGCGAAGAAGCATTCGCAGAACGCTCATCGCTAAGAGTAGAAGATACTGCGGTCAACTCTCCCCGGAGACCACGCGAACAACCTCCTTTAGCTCTGAATCAAATCAAAGGCAAGTCGCAGATGAAACAGATGTCCTAGCGGCGGAAACAACCTTGGCGAATGCCGGCTCCAGCATTGGGTCCGCTATTTTTCTGCTTCGTGATCTACCTCAAACTTTGCGAGAAGTACTGCAGCATTGTGACCAGAGGAAGACAACTCCACGCCGCTCCTGTGATTTCCCTTGTCACAAATGATCGTATCCGCCAGTAGAACGCTGTATTTCACGTCAGCTATAAATGCGTCATCAGGAAGCTCGGTTCATGCAACTTAGCTCTGTATAGAGAAATGGAGCTCGATCCTCCTCATGCACGCGTCTACTCTTCCTCACAAACTGGTCTTATGCCGCCGCCGCTCGTGCGTACCACTCAAATGCCTGCTACGGCGGCGAGCCATCAGCGTGTGCTCGTGAATGTACAATAAGATCTGCCCATATACACACCTTGAGGCAGGTGCCTAAACTTAGATTTTCAGTTCCCCTGTACTTGATGTGACGGGCATGTCCGTGAGGACGTCGCCTCCTAGAAAGAGCAGAGGTATATGTGTAAATTGATGCCCTCACCTTGATGTGCTTAAGTCTCATGCTGCGCAACTCCTGTCCTTTATTCTCATACGACGTGTCCAGGTCGAACGGCGGAGCAAAGATCCACAGTGCAATGTCGTCACATTCTCTTCGAAACATTCTGGACGAAATGACATGGCTCGAACTAGACGCCCGTGCGGTGCGATCCCCCGTTCGATGAGGCCTCTTCGCCTGTCTTCCTCTCGCAGGGCTCGCGCCTGGATCAACCACTTGTTATCTTGGAGCATCTAATCAACACCGTGCAGACACGTATTGCGCCCTCCGCGCCTAATAATTCGTATCCCATACTCGCCCAACGACTCTGCATTGTTGGGAAAGAGAACCGCGGGATTGTGTGGCATAGCACGCATGCTGACGTATGTCGTCGGGAAAATCTGGTACAGTCGATCTTATATGTCTACAGGAATATATCTTCTGGCGGTTGTTCCAAGCCAAGTCCACGCCCATGTAGTCATCCCCGCACCACCAGCGGGTGTCGTGATCAACGAAGCGGGCGTCCTTCGAGGCATGAGCGTTACGAGCGGAGTAATCCTCCAGGATTGCGTCTCCAGCCTCTAGAGCACCTATCGTCTTACATGCGAAAGTGAGAAGCTCGCATGTACGTCGCATACCAATCTACTAGTGATCATCGTGGCAATTTTTGGAGTTGTGCTGAGCGTTGACAGGCTTAGCGAGGGCCCAGGTCGCCAGAAGCTTCTGAGTAGTGTAGCGTTGTCATCGTCGATCGGACGTCCCGGGAACCGTGCCCTGTGTCGCCAAGTGGTGAGCACATCTTAAGAATGACGTGGTCACCGTCGTTGATATCGGTACGATAGTGGACATTGTTGCGCCTGCGAAAGGTCGTTTTCTGGGAGAGATTATGGCGACTGACAATTTGAGAGGCGATGGTGAGTGGCTTCTATTTACATTGCATACAGAACTCGGGTGAGCGAACATCGTTCACGTATCAAGCATTGTCGTCGTTTCCCTACATACTTTAATATCATTTCGTGCTATCGCTTAGTGCAGATGAATAATCCAACGAAGTACACACGTAAGTCTCGAGTGATACGCATAAGGTGCTAAGAGTTGTCTTGGCTGTGTCTCGATCGGGTCTATGGCCTATTTTGCAGCATTATGGGTAAGGTGGACGACCCGGAGAACAACACTGTATTCTCAGCGCACCACGAGTAGGTCATTTACGGCTTTCGCTTGCGGTCATAGCTTCTGATTGACTACATATTGTAGTGCTACAATGTTGTCTGTCTTCCAAACTGGTCTTGCTGCATTGTTGGCTGCGCACTGAAGAGTGGCCCGAGCCTTGGACAAAAGCTGTCGACTCAAACGGTCTTTATGATCGATCATTGTATCCAATCCTCCACGCATAGTTCGTTTCTAGTTGACTGATTTCCATCAACAGCGGCTACCACGGTGGATCAGTCTGTCGCAATCTTCAATTTGACCTCTAGCGGCATCGGAACCCAGCCCTCTACGGAGTCGGCGAGGGCCTAAGGAAGCCATTCTGACGCAGAAAAACTCGTCCCGGCAGACGGGCCCTAAGATGCTGAAATTGCTGCTTCCAACGCCAACTAGGATCTGGTTGAAACAGTCCCTGTGATAGACGAAGCAGCCGATAAATGGGAGCCTCGCGAGGGAATTGCCGTCGAGCGCAAAGTCTCACAGAAGGCTTTCAATCATGACGCGATAGATATTCACGCATTGGACGGAATATTACGGCTTTCAGTAGTGACGTTCGTCTAACTATCCAAAGCGACCTAATGCCCTCTTCGTCAGGCGCATATATTATGCATCCTACTCCTTTGTCATGGCGAGAGCTCCTCTCCTGAAGTTCTATTTGCTAAGATAGTCCTCTCCATACTTCTGATGATGGCTTTGATTCGCGGTCGCGATTCATTGTGTCGCTCCATCCATTCATTCTTCCTGGCGTGCAGAATATCCAGTGGTAGAGATGTCTGCGTCAACCTTATCACGTCGCGTTGTATGCGTGTCAGAAAACATATTCATTATAACGTTGGTAGGCGCTATTGTATTACAGATACCTCCCAGCATTTACCTGCAATGTACCATAACAAAGGACAGTAACGGATAATGCAGCGGGAGAACAGGTAGCAAAAAAAGAGCGAAGACCACATGGAACATGTTCCTGGTCACACGAGCGTGGAACTGCAGCACAGGCCCTATACAAGATGCGCGAACGTGCCATGAAGTTGGCGGAGTGGAATAGCCAACGGCTTGTAAGAGTACAGATACGTACTTAAGACGGAAAGGCGTACGTACAACCAACACGGCCCCAGATGTTGTTCAAGTTATCGATCCGTAAGACCGAGCAAGGTCCTTGCCAGACCAGGGAGTCGAGAGAGCGCACAAACTACGCCTAAATTTGTTTGCGTGGCCCCCCGCGAACACCCCAGAGCCGGATAGTCTCATACAGGTTGTGCGGGGGTCTAGAAAATGATCATCAGTGTGGCCGAGTTCCGTGCCAGTCCTCGCGAGGCAGCCATTGATCACAAACCAAGGATTGATAGAAACGATAACCCGTTGAGGATGAGTCCAGATATGCACAGGAAGGCAGCGCGGGAGGGGTAGGGATGCGACCTTTTGTCATCACCAGTGAGAAGGCCAGAGATTGACTACAGGATATCGTTACGGGTGTATGGGCCGCACTGTTCGCATTCGCCTGCCTAGAGGTCAGTTTATGAAATTCAAAGCAGGCTATCACATTACTCACCATCACCGTTCAAACCCGGAACAAAAGATATCTCTGTTCGACAAGCACTGGGCACAGTGAAATGTGATATTCTTCCAGACTGCAGATCTGATGGGATGCACATGAGCTCCTCCCGTGAATACGCTGAAATGGAGTCGAACGAACCTGAAACCACATTGCCTCTGCAAAACAATGCTACCTTGCCTGCGCCCAGCGTTCTCTGCAACCCATCAGGTCTTGCTTTGACTGCAGTGTGCGTGAAGGCTCAGAACTCCCATCTCGGTGGTTGGCTCTGATATTCGACATATCTTGCGGGCGGCGGGGATAGGACGCGGTCTTCACCCATCGGACGCATATACGGACGAGAAGGTTCCAGCAAGAGGTCGACGCCGTAATGGTTGGTTGTCCCTGGAATATCGACTGCATCAGAGCTCTGACTTTAAGAGTGGAGACGTCGCCTGAGCATGTGAAGGAGGCACAAGCTATTAGTGTTGTAGAAACAGAGTGATATGGAGACGGCCAGCGTTGATGCGGCAGCACCGGGCCGAGGAGACCGATGCGATCGGTTGTCTTCCATCTGATTCATATTCGTTTTGATCATGCGAGTATGCTGTGTGAGACCTAGAACGAGCACTGTGACTGCCAATTGAAGAAGCTGTGCGTTTGAAGCCCTTCGCTGTCTGCCCTTCAATAGACTTTGGACACTATCCGAGGTGAGTCCCCTTGTTGTCTTCTTGTGTTTATACTACCCCTTCTATCGAATGTTCATGTCAAGCTGTTCGCCCATGTTCTCCGGTTGCTGGTCATCCTCACTCACGAAAGCTGCTCCTCATCAGAGCAACCTGTCGGATGTCGTGCTCTGTTCCACCCAGTGCGCCTTACAGAACATACCGATATTAGCACTCCCCGTCCCTGTTGGTTTCACCTTGCCAAGCAGAGGTAGTGTACACCGAAATTCTCAACTAGTAAAACAATGATCCTCCTCGTTATCTATATGGAACTGGATCTTGCGTTGCTGTGCCGTCGTCATCTACATATATGTTTTTCCTATTTCGTTCGCCCTCTTTTTGTCACCGGGATGCCGCGCACCCTCTTCTATGTAACATGCTCTCAACCCGAGCCGGCCTCTCATTTTGGCGTGGTCTCCTTTTTTTGTTGATACTGGCGACAGTCTCTATCGTGCACTCCAGACGTGACCCATGCGAGCTCCTCTTTAGGGAGCAATGTCAGCACTAATGGTCGTAAAAGGAGACGGGAGCTTACGACATGACATCAGATTATTGACCCCACGCGTGTCGCGCGCTGTCTGGTCGTGCTCGTCCAAGCGTTTATGGTCGACTAACGAGGATGCGGTTACTTGTTGTCTATTTGCGTATGGATATTCACATGGGTCAGCATGTAGCCGACACCTATTATCTCTTCTGCTGCTCTCGATCATCGGAGACCGCACCAGTATCTGCTTTCGGAGCCGATGAACCATACCTGTTGACACAGCCACGCTCCAGGCACACCATCATCGTGGCTGTCCTAATCTGCAATCTGCATGATTTCTGATGAAATATCCGCAGAGTTTCTGCAGATGCAGAGGACCTGATATGATCAGGCCAGCAACTGCGCAGCACAATGCATGACCAGTGATAAGTGCCACTATCATCGTCAAGTCTCTAAGGAGACCTTACTGTTCGTTTGGCTCTCTTGGGTGATGACACCGCCTCCGTTACCCCCCTCAGCTAAATGTCTGTCATAGCAGTACTTATTAATCCATCTTTCAAGGCCAGTGATTTCGCGGGGCACTGCATAGGCTGCGTAACATCGGCTCATCCTGACATATCATGACTCACAGGATCCTTCCGGTCGACAGAACAGCCCACAATAAATGCTCTCGTGATCTTGACCCGCTGTCTGGTACAGCCTGGCATCATATGTTATCAGCCCATGTCTCATCTCAGGCAGGAGCTCGTCGCATGCTGATTCTCCACATCACTGCATATCATCTCAACACGGGCGCATCAGTTCATTGTATACCCGAGCTTGTTGACCTGGTTATTGACCTGAACAGGATGCGGTGGCGCTAACGAATCATGCTTCTTAAGTTGCATCTCACATCACCCTGTATCCTCCACGCACAATTGATTATATTATATCTTGCTTGACGAACAGATGCCACACTCGACACGCATATATATATGAGCTATGGACACCTTGTATTTATATCCTACTCGTCATGTCCGAATCAAGCATGAATGAAGCCCAACTCCTCCGATTTTACCAGTATGCGTAAGCTGACTCTCAACGATCTTTTGTGTGTTTATATATTTCTTATGCTCATACTGCAGCTGGATAGAAAGCTATATTGACATTGCGGCTACGGGTGTGTACATGACAATATTCGTACTTGTAACCCTCACTGACACGCAAACTAGGCCTATTTGTGTACGATTTCATCATCTCCTTCAATCAGGAGTGGCGGGCAGTCTGGTCTCGCAAGATCGCGGGAGCGACTGCTATATACCTAGCTCTCCGCTATGTGACCTTGGCAAATGTGATTACATATGTCACCAACTTCACCATTTCATCATGTGAAGTGAGTCTTCATGCTGCTTTCTATCATTCTAGCTAAAGACATTCTCAGGGGTGACTTACATTCGGATTTATACTGTACTTGACATGCATGCTCAACTATGTTGGTCCTAGTCTCTTCATTTCACACTTAGCGGAGACAGGTACCTTCTGTGGGATATATCTTGCTCAGGCAGGTATGTCTTCCTACACTCTCCGGTGCAACAGTCTAATGTCATGTGGCTGATAGCATTTGCGTCAATTCGAGTTTATGCTATTGATGGCCGGCGGTGGATGAAGGCTGCCACCGTGATGATGTTGGGGCTTGTGCCTGTTGCTATCAACATTGTATGTGTTTACCTCACTGCAGATACTCCATCTCCCAATCATGCATCATTTACAGTATTCCGGGTCTAAAACATTTGCATATTGTAACACAGAGGATCTTGGTGTTGAAGTCTCGATATCCACCTCCAAGTATAATATGTACGTTGCATCAGTCGTTAGTGATACCTACTGAGCTCTGACGAGCCTCTCTAGATGTAAGGCAGCTAATATATATGTCCCCTGAGCTGTGATGTGATACATTGATCGCTTTCCAGTGCTTCTTGTCACTCGTATATGTGTTCTCATGTCGAACCTCCTGGTCGTTATATCAACATGGCAAGCGACACGTGCCAGCAGATTAGTGACTGCCTGGACCAGCAGAGGATCCCTCACAGCTGTGTTGTTTCGAGATGGTGCGCGCTCCATCTCAAAACAGAGTTTGTGCTGATACAGATGTGTATGTAGGTACCATTCACTTTGCGTAAGCTTATATTTTCGTCCATGAGGATGTACTATAGTATGCATTTGCAGAATAGTAGTCGGGCTCAACGCAGCCGACGTTGTGGTAGAACTACTCCTGGGGGTTGGTGCAATTCACATGACTACATATAATCACTCAACAGCTGAGCCTCAGAAATTGATCGACTTGTCCCAACTCATGGAGCTGTAGGTGTACAGACTGTTTGATCGTACATTCTAACGAATTCAACACACAGGATCAGTACCGTGGTGCTATGCCACTTCTTCCTCAACCTCCGCCAGTTCTCCAGCCCCGACGTCAACAACAGCGAAATGTCCTCCCACGCAAGCTCTTTCTCAAGCTTCGCATCGAGGATCATCGGCAACCTGGGCGAGATGCTCGAGGACGACCCTCAAGCCCTTGATGACGACTTTGAAGGCGAACTAGACGACCTCAATGATACGGGAGAAGTCGATGGGTCAGTTGTTTTCGATGACAACACAAAGGCTCCTTCAGATGCCGACAAGGCTCAGACTCGAATGGCCACTGCGGCAATTTTCGAGCAGGAGACGGATAAGAGAGGCGCAGCCGACCATGGGTTTCTCGAAGCCCCAGATGAGGGCTTCGACCAGCGTGTGATAGATGTTGTCTAGGTTGGTGACACTTCCACCGATCTGTAGCTATACTGAAGGATATCGTCTCCCAGAGGCAGCTCATCTTCATCATTGTATGACGCAGTCTGCAGGATACAGCTGCTTCCCGTTGCGGGATTCTTCTACGGATATGCATATTGGACGTCTTCCACTCTTGGTAGCGCATACATGTTTTCTTCCCTCTCCTGAAATATCTTAGCCTCAGAGTCGCTGCTAATCAGTTTCACAAAGTCTCATAGCTAGTATTTATCGCACCATCTCCATCATTGCTTCATATCCCTGTCATTTAAACCATGCGAGGGTGGACGGGTTCTTCCATAGAACGAGACATGCGACTAGCCTGACCGTTCCGGAACGTACATGGAAGTCGACTGCCAGTGTTTTCTGCACGCCTCTCATCCGCGACTATACCCTATACGCCATGGCCGAGTGCGCACACGCGGAACATGCAGGAATAGGGAACACCCTAGTCATCTCTTACCGGCGACCACACCAACGACTTCCTTAGATCTCGACCAAATGCAAAGGCGAGCTGCAGGAATTTTCCTAGAGATACGGGTCGGTGAGCAGGGTCATTTCTCCGAGCTCCGGCTCGAATATTTAAGTCCATCAGGTTCATGATTCGTGATCCACCTCAAGCATGGCAAGAGACGCGCTTTTTTGCAGGCCGTACTACAGCCCGGTGATAAAGCAGAGACAATGCCCCACCGCTCTTCCAATTGCCCTTGCCAAACGTAATCTCGTCATCCAGTGGAGCGCTATATTATGCGTCAACTAAATTTGCGTACAGAAACTGGGAGAAACTGGCTTACCTCTCTATAGGTCCATCGGGCTCGATACTCCATATGCACATGTCTGCTCTTCTTCTCAGACTAATTCTGTGCACCCGTCGCTCATGCATGCCCTTAAGATGCCTGCGAAAGTAAGCTTCCAGCGTGGACTCGCGATCGCCTCTCCAGGCAGCTGCTTCAATATCGTTTGTCATTTCCCCTCTACTTGACGTCTGTATTTATGATGGCGTCGCCGGCCAATGCGGACCGGACTGAGAGTGGGTAGATATGCATATAGATAACCTTGCCTTTCCGCCTTACTGCAGCACTTCAGGCTTATGTTTCAGAAGCCCCTAAATCCTTCCGTGCTTCATCGTCTCTCAACATGTTGAGATCGAGCGAGCAGATTGCGACAGTGCCATCGTATGTCATGAGAAACATTTTGAATGGGAATGGCTTCTTGATGGAGGCCCGATCAATATGTTCCATGTCCCCTGTGTGCGGCTACAGAGGCGCTAGTCGTGAAGATCGACAACGACTTCTTACAGCATAGTGGCGTATGACACTGCCGGCATAAGATTGGGAACATTTGTTAGATTTTGGGGCCCGCAGTGTCGACCCGACGCCCCTGTGCCTAGCAGGGAGAACAATCGTAGCACGATTGCCAAGTAAAATACATCGATCCTGTAGAATACTTGTACCGTAGCGCGGCCGTACCTGGCCCCCACGTGTTTGTAACAATCCGCCCATTTTGCTCGCTCGCGTCCGCGTGCCCACTCCCCTCGTCTCGTCCCCAGGCGAAAGTCAACAACATTCTCACCTGCATTGGGCTGTCCTTTCAGGATGAGGCACGAGTAAGACATTCAATATGCATGCTTCAACAACTTTGAGTTGCCGGACAGAATATGATTGGTAGACGTCAGAGGGGCTCTTACACATTAGACGTGGCTCAGCGTAGACGCCCGTGCGTGAGATCTGAGATCTAATTTGTCATATGTTCGATCGCGCTCAATGCCTCTTGGCTTATGCACTCTTTCTTTCTCAGCAGGTCGTGTCTTCTTCCACCAAATGGTCTAGCTCGCGCGTAGACTCACCACTGATTATCCAAGAGCCAACGGTCACTGAATGGCCCACGTTGCACGCTTCGTGTTCATCTCACGCCTCGCTCGATTACGTAGCGTTGGTTGGGAAAGGAAAAGCTCGGGCCTGTGTGAAGCTTGCCATGGACGTAATAGATCATTACCATCTTACGTCCTCACGCAAACCTGGCGCTGGTGGTCGCAGAATTCATTACAGGAATTCATGTTATGCATTCCGGCGATTGCCCGGCTGAAAAGCGAGGCCGAGGCTGCAGGGCTAGCATCCACGCCCTCTAATTCTTATACTTGATCCGCCACGAGGCTTCACGTGTGATTCTGCATTTGCCTGCCCACAGGGTCTTTGTGACTTCTATTCCTGCGTCGTTACCTGGAGTGCATCCTACGCCGAGCTCTCAGCCGTCGGAGATTTGAGTGGGAATGCCCACGTCCACGTAATTATCCTTGTTGCACCCATCAATCTGAGGGGTGTCTCCATAAACGACCGCAAGAGTATCGTACACGAGGCGGACATCCTTCAAATGAGCGGCATGGGCGGCGACAATGTTCATGGTTACCTCTTCCGCCTTCCGACACCTCAAGATATGAGGCTCACATGTTAGGCGAATGCTTCATGGCGTTGACTCGCACGAGTTACCAGTGAGTATCATCACCATTCTTTTGTAGTAATTCCGGCGCGGAGGCTGGAAGGCTTGGTGAGGACCCAAGTCGCTGGGAGCTTCTGGATAGATTGCAGCCCTGGGAGCGTCGAGAGTTCCCGAGGGACCGTAACCTGTGCCGCCAGCTGGTGAGCACGTATCGAGACTGATTTAGTCGTCGCTGCTGACATTGGCGTTGGCACGGCCTTGGACATTAGAAAGCGTGGGAAAGGTCTTTTTCTTGCAGTGGGAGAAATATCGGCGACTGATGCTCGAGGAGACGATGGCGAGTCAATTTTATCAGGATAGTAATTGACGCTTCACGCTGATATCCATCCATAGCCGGTACCACGCTCGGCCAGTCTGTCGGGACCCTATCCTTGCCTCCAGCTGCGTCAGTATCGAGCCCTCCACACAGCCGGAGAAGTACGAAGGAGACCCCGCGAGAGATGAGTGTCACCTAGTCGATCAAGTTAGTATGAGGTCATTTCCAGGGCTTATGCCACTTCCTCCTCGAGCTTCGCAATTTGCGTAGCGGCTCACGGTCCAAGACACCACTTCATTCTCCCAGAGAAGCTCGCTCTTGAGCTTCGCATCCAGTATCCCCGGCACCTTGGGTGAGATGCTCGGGGATAGCCCCAGACCCTTGACTATGGCTGCAAATGTGAACCAGACGGCCTCGATGACGTTGGACAACCTCCACGATACTGGCAGCGCTGTCTTGCAAGGCAGACGAAGATAAAGCTCAAACAGCTTTCACGGCAGACGAAGCAGTTGGCAATCGAGAGACTCGCGAGGGAGTGCTGTCGATCGCGAATGTTCCGGTGAGACGCACCATTGATCTTCTTTAGGTCGGGCTTAGAGAATTCCAATGGCACTAACAGCTCTTCACGATATTCGTGTCTAACGCAATAATCTTCATAGCTACGCTACGGCATTAGATATCGACTCGCTAGAGGGACCTTCACTGGGTGCGATCTCTGAGTAAGAAACAAGGATTGGTGTAATCCCAGCTGCTTAGTAGGTGGAATGCATGAAAAGGCTCGAAGAGCTCAGTAAATTAGGTTCTGTCACAAATCCACGAACAGATGAAAAGTAGTCGTCCGCCAACCTGAAAATTGTGAAGGACACGATTCAAGTGCCGGACCGGCTCACACAGCGGCAGTCCGGGCCGATCCCAGGAAGTAGTGGACAAGTGCAGGTCAATTCTAGCAGCTCTATGTACATGATTCGCCTTACGGTCTATTACATGTGCAACAGTGTAAAGTACGAAATTGACACGTGGAGAAACTGGTAAAACAGACGCACGACGCTACCGGAAACAACGTACAAGAGTCCACTGTGTGTTGTGTTCTATGGACCGACGAGCATGGAGGGAATGGGGAGGAAAAGCACCTCTCGAGTAATACAGAAACGGCTGGCCGGCCATCTGGCGCGAGGGGGAATATATGTTGGTGAAGCGTCGTTGCTAGACATCTAGATCTTCATGTAACACGGCACAGGCTGCCAGTCACAATGAGGAAAGCCGACGCGCATTCTAACACTTTAAGCCAAGTATATGCGGTTTCGGGTGCGGTGAGAATAGGTGTAGATACGCGGAGGCATCGTGGAAACAACATGGAGTTGAGGTCTGGGGACCAGGTGTGAGATCCTGCAGTTACCGTGCACGAAGCAGGAAAGTCATGGCATGGAGCTGCAGCATCCACGCTGCACAGCACGCGCAAACGCGCCGTCAGGCTTGCTGCGTGGAAGAGACATTTGAAAAGAACAAAGACGTACTTAGGGTGGAAGGACGCGTACAAGCGACACTTCCCCAGTTGTCCGAGTTCTCGCAATCCATTAGCATAGTCCAAGCACCTCGGGAATCTCGAAATCGACGTGATTGAGCACATCGCTCCGCTTCATATGTAGACCTCGGGAATGATGTGCGCGACTTCAGCGTGTGACAGCCAGTGTTTCATGCAGGAAAAAGCGATTAACAGCCTCCCAGGACTTCGGAGGCAAGACGCAGACAGACCAACGCAGACAGACCAGGGAGTTGAGAGAGAATACAAACTGCTCCTGAATGTGTTCGTGAAATCCGCAGTGAATATTACAGAGCCGAACAGCCGCATATATGGCATGCGACGGTGCGGCAAAGGGTCACTAGCGTGACCGAATTTCGCCTCAGACAGTGCTCGTGAGGCAACCATTATTCGCAAAGCAAGGATTATAGGGGTGGCGACCGGTCGAGTACTATTGAAATTACGCTCAGGGAGCGACGTGGGAGAAGTATGGTGCGATCTTCTGCCGTCACCAGCGAGCAGGCCAAGGAGTAATCACAAGACGTCAGTAGCGGGTCTTTGCGGAAGTATGAGCCGGTGGAGAGGTGAACGTCCTGCGAACTGCCAGATGCGCTGAGACACACCGCTCTCATTCCCCTGAAGGTCAGTTCATGAAGTGAAAATTGCGCGACTGCAGTCCTCACCAGTTGTGACCATTCGATGGTGAAACGTCCCTCCCTCGTTAGGAAACAAGAGAGGACAGGAAGCAGAACAGTAAGATGAGAAAAGCGGACGCGGAAAGGAACATAGGAAGATAGTGACTGCCTGGGTCTAAGATTATGTGACTGCCGCATCAGTAGCGCAGAGGCATGACGGTACTTGCGAAGCGATGTTGGTTTTGGAGTGTCCATTTGGCGGCCAGTGGATGTCGCCCCACAGATCGGGGTCACTTAAACTGCAGACTCAACGGTGCGCAAATGAGCTTCTTCCGCCCACAAGTTGAAGGCGGGCTGTATTGAAGAACGAACCTGGAACTGCCCTGCCTCTGCTAAATGTGCTTACTTGCGTCTAGCTGGTGTGCTCCGCCAGCCGTAAGATATTGCCAATTTGCATCGTATGTGAGGAATCAGGCTTCTCATCTTGGCGGTCGGCTCTAATATTCGACATATCTTCCAGGCGGTGGGGAGGCAACGCGGTCTTCAATTGCCGGACACATATACGGACGAGAAGGCTCCAGCAAGAGGTCGGCGCTGTGAAGGGTTTCCTTGCTACATTAACGACAGCAGTGCTTAGACACTCAGAGCGGAGACGTCGCTTGAGCAGGTAGAGGAGGCACAAGCTAATGTTGTAGAAACTGAGTGAGACGGAAATGAGAGGAAGCCAGAGACTCGAGGTGAGCGCCGGTGCGGCAAGACCGGGCCGAGAAGGCTGATGTGATCGGCTGCCCCAGCTGAGGGCCTCCGAATGCATTCGCCTCCCGTCATATCTCCCATGTCCAACGCCTAGTTCTTGTTCGTTTCAATCGTGCGATTATGCTCTGCGAGACCCAAAGCGCACATTGTGACCAGCGGCCGAGGAACTCATAAGTATAAGGCCTTTCGATATCTGCGCCTCAATAGGCATCGTCCGAGGTGAGTCCCCTTGTTATGTTTCTGATATTGTTCCTATTCAATGCCAATGGCAAGCCGTTCTTTACGTTCTACGGTTGGTATTCATCCTCACTTACTCACGCTGTTTTTGACCAGAGCAACTTGTTAACCGTCGTGCTTTGCCTCACCTAGTGCACGCCTCGCAGAACATATTGCAATGAGCACTCTCTGTCCCTCTTGGGTTTACCTTGCGAGGCAGAAGTGATGTACATTATAATCGCAACTAAGAAGCTCATTACATCTCGTTGTCATCCATATGGGACAGAATCTCTCGCTGCGGTGCGTGTATCCATTACACATATCATCTTCTTGCCCCGGTCGTACTCTGTTGGTCACCAGCTGGCTACACACCCTATCCTGTGAAACATGCTCACAGCCTGAGCTATCTGCATACCGCTTTATCCGGCTGGATATCCACCGAAGTGACCCCTCCCATTCCGGTATGTTCTCCTTCTGTCGTTCATACTAGTGACAGGCAGTCTCTACCGTGCGCTCCGATGTGACCCTTGCTTGATTAAGGCTCAACGTCAATTCTTAGCAGTTATAAAGGGACGCGGACGATTTACGAGATGGCATCCGGATTTTTGTTCTGTGAAGGATGCAATATGCGGGTCGCTCGGTCTCTGGCTGACCAACGGGGATGGGCTTGGGTTTTTCTCCTGAGTGAAATGTGTGGCACATCGCGGGGTGCTGAGTAGATTTTCGCAGCTCGTTGCCTATTTGTATATGGACATCTACGCGGTTCAGCACGTAGCTGACGCCTATTCTCTCTTCTGCCGTTGTCGATCATCGGAGACCGTGCTTATATCTGCTTTCCCTTTCCGATCGAATGTCCGCAGAGCCTCTGCAGAGGACCTGATATGGTCCGGGCAGCAACCACGACGAACAGTGATAATTGCGACTATCATCGCCGTGCCTCAAAAGAGATGTTCATGTCATTTGGTTATTGTTGGGCAACAATGCGGCCTCCGTTTCCTTCGTCAACTGAACGCTTTCCAGAGCAGTACTTTCTTGTCCATAATCCACGGCTAGTTCGCGTGGCGCTACGCCCTGCATCTCACCTCATAATATGTGGGGATGGAACAGGATTGGGCATGAGCCATCCATTGCGTGTGGATTGCGTCAGTTTCCCCACAGCCTGGAGTACCGTACCGTGAGTTCTGGCCTAGCAAATGAAATCTGACCACTCGGGCTCCATTCTGCGTCTCATTGGAGCTAATCAAGCGAGGCGCGAGGGTAACGCTTCTTCGGAGGCTGCGCAGCATCCGCTCATCTTGACATATCTTGCCAGATCCTGCCGGTCGACAGTAGCACGGCTATTGTGATATGCTCTGCATATCTGCATTGAGGCCAATAGGATCATTCGTGCCGGACGTTGCACATCGGGCAAAAGGAGCAGTGTTGTTACTTTTTTGACCCTAGTACTTTACGACGGTAATCACAGTGACATATGTGTACATGCACCGTCAAATGGCCGACATATTCCTCGTGAGGATACCGCCTTCGTGGCCTGCAAGATATACTCAGGTAGGTTGTATCAGGTCCCGGTGTCGGCATCTGCCCGTGTGTCGTCTCATCCTTATCTGAGCTGATTGACCTGATGGTTGATAAACAAGAGACCCAGGCGTGAACAAGTGATGCCCTTCGAGTCGAATCTCACCTCACCTTGTATCCGCTTCGCACAACTGATCGCCTTGTACTCATCTGATGGACAGGTGTCATGCTCGACATGCATATATACGCGAGCTGCTGGCATACTTATATCCCGTCCTAGTCGTCATGTCTTTGTCAAGCATGGATGCAGCCCAACTCATCCAATCTTACCAGTATAGGTAAGCTGACTCACTCAATGTGTGCTTTTTTATGCCTTGATACATATTGTGCCTTGATGTCACAGCGTGATAGGGGAATATATTGACATCATGGCTATGTGTATGTACATGATGATGTGCATAAATGCAGTGCTCACTGATGCATGGAACAGGCCTATTTGTGTATGACTCTGTCATCTCCTTCGATCTGAAAAGGTGGGCCATATGGTCTCACAAAATCACAGGAGCAACTGCTTTATACCTAGCTCTCCGCTATGTGACCTTGCTAAACATCATTATGTTTGTCATTGAATTTACCATAACATCATGTGCCGCGAGTGTTCATCCTGTTTTCCATTATCCTAGCTCATGACATTTTCAGGGGTGACTTATATTTGGAGTTGTACTGTGCTTGTTTTGAATGCTCAACTATGTCTGTTCTAGCTGCTATATCGCACACTTAGTTTACATAAATACAGTGTCACGACTTGGTATGGCGTTTAGCTGTTTTTTAATTTTTTCTTTTTGCAGGCTCGAACCTGCGACCTCTGTACTATACGCTCAAATGGACAAGTTCTTATCTACTGTTGTCATGACTTGGCACGGTGTCTAGCCATTTTTTAATTTTTTCCTTTTCGCGGGCTCGAACCCGCGACCTCTGTACTATACGCTTGAACGGACAAGTCGTTATCTACTGTA